ATAATAATTCAAGAAATAGTGTCTAAACGCACTAACATTGTAAATTATGGACGTAGTCTGTGTTTAACCCAAGCCTTGGTTATTGTAGTTTTGAGTATTAATGTAATGTATTGAATTCTGATCTGAAAATATATATATGATTTGCCTTCTACTCCAACAATCTTATTATTTGTTTTACATAATTCTTCTATACATAATAACGCAGGACAGACAAATACTAGGTTCCAATTCTTGTACATCTAGACATCACACAAACTGGCATTATATCTGCTGAAATAGTTGTAGTTCTGCTGACAGTCAACCAATCTGATACAGCTTGTTTTCTTACAAAATACACCTAGTTATAATATACATGCCAACGGTCGAAACAAGCAACGAGCAAGTGAAATAGTGGCATGTGACTCGAATACAGTACATGGCAGTTTGTTCCACAGTCTACACTAAATAAGGACACTACAAAATATCACGCCTTGAATCTTCTAGAATGTGTGATTAACTCTAGTGCAGTTTTCCTTAATAGTGTAGAAAGCGTTTAAAATATCACACTGTCACAGTGTAACCCCTGCATATTGCATTGAGAGGGCCTCAATTTTTACCATTAGCTTCCGCACGCAATCTCAACACTTCAAGTTCATGCTGTCTTATTTTCTCTGCCTCTATTGCCTCATGTTTCAACTTTTCAACCTCACGTTCTCTGCCTCTTTCCTCACGTTCAATTATTACGTTTGGCTGCTCTATCATCCCTCTCCTCACGCCCTGCTCTCACAAATTGAGACAGCACTTCTCCTCATCAGTTTGCCTCATACTCAAAGGCTCTACCTAACTCTTTATATTCATTAACAACACTCATGCTGAAAAGGTGTAGTTCAAGTTCTAGTAGTATTAAATACAGCAATGAACAATCTGGTCTGAAAACACCGCGTTCTCTAGACCTGAGAAGTTACGAAACAGTCAATTTAGTCAGGGGATTATTGACAATAGAATCTCAAATCAGAATCACAATCCGAATCAGAATCGCAATCCCACTTTTGACACCAAAATGTCACAGTGTAAGGCCTGCTCATTGCAATTGAGAGGGCCACCCACAGAACTCACGCTGGACAGGGGGGTTCTGTCACTGCTAGAATGGGGTAGACAAGACACTAGTACTAGAAATGAAATACAAAATATCGAGTTAAAGCTGCTGGCTTTAATACCTCTCAAAATAATTACAAGAACTAAAGCTCAGAAAAATACAATGAATAAAGTCACTAAAATAGGAGATTGCGTAGGGAAGCGTCCATTGGTGATAACTCACAGTTCCAGGATGTAGAAATGGATGACAGCAAATGGCTTCTGCAACACAACAATGAAGAAATACAGGAGTCTTACTCGCAGAGGAACGCTGTTATTTTGGAGGGCACCACTGAAAGTAGAAGATCGCAGAGCAGTTCATGCCAGTCTCACAGAACGATGGTTGAAGCCTGTGTCACTTATCTTACAATATCGTGGCAGCAACACACAGGATACTATGTTGAAATGACGGACCCCAAACTGTCTTCAGTCTGTCCATTTATAGGCATAACTGGCCCAGATTCAGGGGTTTCCACATGAGGCAAACAGAAAGTGATCTTGCTATCAGCTGCGTCACGTAGGCAACTCAGTAGATCATAAACATCCTTTGCGATTCAAATAACAGCACACCTGGTAGATCCCAATTCTTCTTCCAAAATTGTAAAACCCCTTTGATATGTAAATCACAAGCACACCTGGTAGATTCCAACTGCCTTTCCAAAGTTGAAAACAAGTATGACGTGTCAATCACCTTTATGACAGTTATCACACGGCAATGCACACCGTTTCTTCCCATGAGTCAATGCACACTTTTTTCTAGGATTTGAGGTATGACAAAAATAAAAAATAAAGGATGCTGACACACACAATCCCCCAAAGCCAACAACAACTCATTAAAAATGCATGATTGTCTCAGCCAATCAGAAAGCACTTCAATTCTTAATGTAACATAATACATGCACAGAATGAACTAGATCAAAATAAGTTTATCTTAACACCCCTTCTTAAACTTAAGTTGGCTCTAAGTTCAAAATATTCAACTTTGCCCTTGATACTGGTTTAGTAAATGCATCGGTTACATTCCTACTGGTTTTCATATTGCAAAATTCAACATTGTCATTTTGAACTTCAGATCTCAAAAAATGATACTTGATGACAAAGTGCCTTGACTTTTTATAACACAGCGAGTTTTAGCTAAAATCTATGGCACTCTGACTGGCTGTCCACTCATGCCAGAATGCAACTGTTTTAAATACACTGTTTTTGCCATTGGCACTGGTCAATGCAATATATTCTGCTTCACATGTAGGCAAGGCAATACACCGCTGTTTAAAGCTTTTCCATGAAATAAGTGGCCCACTTTTTCTGTCCAGTCACAATCACATTATCCAAATTAATTTGGTTCGTGATCTGAGCGGCTGTACCTCAAACCAAAATGTTTTGTTCACTTTAAGTACCTCAATACATGTTTAGTCATACAGAAATCTTTCTGCGAAGACTTAATATATAAATAATATATAACAATGGGCTAACAATAAATGACATAGTCTGGCTTAGTTGCAGTCATCAAATACATTAAACTGCCAACTATTTAATGCCCATGTATAGCTTTACAGACTACTGTATCACATGGGAATATGGCTTGAGCTTACAATCACTCATGTCAAATCTGTTTGGCAAATTTCCAACGTATTTTGTTTCTTTGTTTTAATGTCTTCATAGCAATCAAATTCTTAACCAAGAAACCAAAGCAAAACACCTAAATCCTTCATTTTGAACCATTGACTCAGTGACCGTTTTATGTCCAATATGACCTTTTCACTGCTGTATAATGTCATCAACTCAAAAATCATGACCACTTTACAAACATCAGTACATTTTGTATACACACAGTAATTTGTTCACAGTCCTCACTTATCAAAAATGCATGTGACAAACGGTACACTCCTGGTGTGGCGAGTATGAAAACTCTTGACTATTTTATTTTTGTTCATTAAAGACCTGAATTTCTGAAAATTCAGTACCATTGTCACATCTTAACAACCTACTTAGACCATAGGGTGCACTATCAGCCAAATATTATCACTCTGCAACATTATCACTCTTACGTATAAGAAAGTATACAAAAACAGAACCTGAATTATCATTACTAAAACAAATGCCATATTTGAATCCATCTTTAGCAACACGTTCAATTGGTCCCGCTAGATCACAGTGGACAAACGCCATTGGCCTTGTAGCCCGTTTATCAGCTTCTCTATTAAATGCAGCTGTCACACCTGGAATCTAGCTTGTCAGTTTTTTTAAACCCATCAACTACATGTTCTAATTAAATAATATCATTGACATTACAGTGTCCCACAATCTGTTGCCAGTCTTGTAATATTTCGGAGAGAGATGTACAGGGAATTTTATTTTAAAAATATAACCTAACATCTTTCTCCACATCAATTGTACCATCTCTGGCTTTCATATTGGAACCATTTATATACAAATTTAATTAAACATATCCTTCTGTACATGCAGTGTTTTCACTAGAATAACACCCTGAGCTCGACATTTACATCATACGATACAACGTAGACATTGCCCCTGTCACAAACTACGACTGCAATAACATGATTATTTTTGTATCAAAATCTCTATGAAAATTCACAAATTTTGCTCTATCATTTACATTGTGTGTAGTTGCCCCACGATCCATCAACTTGCTGTGTTATTTTGCTACAGATTTACAATATTTGTCAGTGCAAAATTAAACCAAAATGAGTGTTCGTTTTCGTCATTGCTGTTTTTGTCACGTGGCTGTGGACACCACTTCTCCGGCTGTGCGCAGCACTCAAGTACCTTGTGCCCAATCTTGCCACATAACATTTTACTCCCGCTTTTAAAGAAGACTGATGGGCCCGTTCTGCTCTGTTTGGGAATTTCTGGCTTTGCGTGACAATCATCACGCCATGTTGCACGGGCAAATGTTACCGTTGCTGGCTGCATTTTTCGTTTTATTCCTAGCTCTTTAATGATACGTTGAATGTTAAAAATTGTTGCTGCTTCTCTGTTCGAGTAATGACTGCAACAACAGTTTTGAACTGAGGGAGGACCTCGGCGTATGCATCCTTGTTTCTTCTGGCATTTGGTTATTTGGTTATTTTGCCAAATTTTTACAGACGCATATGCCCATGGAATATCACCCCCAAAAGTCCATACTTCGCTGCGTTCTTCTTTAAATCCCTGTTAATCCTAGCCATTCATTATTGGTGCCATTGTTACAGGTAAGCAATGTATTTCATTTTGTATTTACTTCAGCATTGTATTTCATGTTTATCGATGGGAAAATCACATTTCAAGGTTGTTGTCAAAACATATAAATGGCGTCTATGTAAATTTCAGTTGTTCGTTCTTCAAGATTCTTCTGTAGATAAAGTTAACACCTTACTTCTGTACAGAATATTTGTAATGTGAGCCATGTAAACAAGTTTAGGTTTAACTAAGTTGAGACACGCTAGGCATTATCATAATGAATATAATTATTTAACGCACAATTTAGGACTAGTTTGACATTTGAATACAAATGTGACACTTGACTTTTAATGTCAATGCATATGTTGACACTTATATTACATAGTTTCCAAAAGTAGGCGCTGTCTTATAAGCAATATTGAATGTAAGCAAATGCACATGTAAATGTTAGCCTCAAAGAGATATGTCATAATCTAAACAAACTGTCCATTCTCTAAAAGCACTTATGTACATCATTGGTTTAAACTGCCATATTTGAACTAGTTAAATTAGTTAAAAACAATCCTAAAGCTAAGTTTATACCAGCAGGTATATGAAACATTAAATTTCACAACTGTGAAATATGTAAAATAGCATTATATGAAATCATATTTGGTTTATACTCAATATTTTAACAAGTAGTAATAAATCTTCCGCCACAAATTCTCTTATGCGCCAACCATTTCCGGACAAATGTATGATAACATGAGATGTATTTCTTGGCTTATCACAACTGGTGGCATGTGAACTGTATTTGTTTCAAATGAAGACAACACCATATCCCATATATCAAGAAACAAAACACCAATTCCGGCGAATACATATCTAATAATTCTGTTCTGATCAAAAAATACCCAATTACTACTGTGGATAGATTGCTCTCTGAACACATGTTCCCGTGGGTGTGACAGTTTAATCATTACTTTAGAATTTGGACATCTTTTTAACAATCTTTCCACGGCCAACTTGGCACGAAATAGACGTTCTATGTAGGACTGAGTTGACCACATGCCGTAGTGGAAACCAAAGTTCAACATCACAATAGGAACTTTAGACTGACATTCATTGTATGTGATATTGTCAATCAAGTCACTTTCAAATACAAATTCTGGTACAGTTTCGTCAATTTGTCCAGCTCTAGGCGCCATGAAATGAAACCTCATATTATATGCATGTTCGTATCTCATGAGTCTAACAATTTGCTTCACTGTAGAGTCTCCACTCGCTATGATAGTCTTGTCAGATAAACACCTGTGGACTTCTTCTTTTGACCACTGTTTACTATGACATACAAGTGGAATAAATAATTCACGAGTTTCCCAATATCCGTCAGATAATGGCACTGGTATATCTGAACCACATTGCTGCAATGGACGAGGATATACTTCTGCGTCTAAAGAATAACAATGTGAAGAGTTATTTCTTTATATTATTCCAATGTAGTACACAACAGTAGACATATGGGAGTAAGTAATCATTAGTGAAGGTCATTTGCAAACAATTAGTAGGTATACATTTTCATTCCCACTGTTTTTTTTGCGAGAATGCATCATGATTATCAAATGTACAGTACCCTAGTGGACAGAAAGTATGAAGGGAATGTGAAATGGAAACTGTGCTTTACACACAGTTCATTTGTTACATATTATTATGTCATATTCATCTATTTGCCTACAATGAGATACAGGAGAAGTAATTTCAAGAATTTTACTACCCATTTTCTGTATACAGAACTCCGATATTATAATGATTTGTTAATATCATTATTATCATTATAATAACATTACTGTTTTTTTTCTATTACATAATATACATAAACACAAGTCTTATATATGCTTCTATTTACTCGCCTTGTATTAATACTGGTGTTGCCGGCAACCATGCCATTTGCGATATCCTAAAATTAAAAACAGTTTTGTACATTAAACACTAATAAGAACACTTTAGAACCTAGGCTAAATTTCATTGGTTCATTGGATAACATCACGCTTTGAGTCTTCTTCCAGAATATGTGATTAAAACCAAATCAGTTTCACAGCCACATGTAAGGGCTGGTATTTTCAGTGTATTCCAGTGAATGTTACACTCAGGAATGGCTATCATAAGATTCAGCTCCCAATTATGTCATGATTCACAAGATTCACAAGATTCGATTCGAGTATAACTTGAAATCGTTGACCAACACACCATGAATTTATACCAGTTTTAATCTGTATTGCTGTATGGAACACTTGACAGCATGAATGTCTTCCTAGACCTTGTGACATGTACCAACGTTTAGTCTTGGATGGGCTAATGATACTATCCCTTTCATCAGACATACAATAAATTGTTATTTTATGTTGCACTCCGTTAACCAGAATTTGGTATCACTGCTTTGTTAACCACAGTAGTCATGCACTATCACATATGATGACACCCTCAAAACAAACACACATCGAAACAGCGAAGGAAACAGGTCAACAACACCCCCCCCCCAAAAATAACGAAATTGAAATTGGCGTTATTAGCAGTACAGTAGAGTGCATGTCTGACTGTGAAAATATAGTTTAGGAGTGTGTAGTTAAATCAAAATATATATCAAGATTATCGCATAAGTGCAAAAGGAAAAAACGTATTTGTAGTTCACCAGATGTTTTCTATGAATATGTTAGTCATTTTAAAACTATACTAACCACGTAGCTTTGTGCGATGCCACGATTTGTAGTTCATACCATTGGCTGAATAATTATTGTCACCTATACACCAGTGTGGTCGTCACTCTGATGATAAATATATTTCTAACGAATTTTGACAATCGTAAATAAATGTAATGTATAAATGTACTGCCAGTCAGTTACATACTTACGATTCAAATAAATCAGCAGCACCTTGCATCTGATCTGCTGTGATTTTATTCATTTGTTGAACACTCCTACCGATGATATTCAACTGAGAACATTCCAATGTACTGGGTCTATCACAGACAAGCACTGTCTTACCCATGGAATTTGCATTCATATATTCACACTTATCAGACCATAGTCCTTCACTTATCATTGAACAATTGCTTGACTCGGTTGTAACTCCATCTGTAAAATTTCCAGCAATTCCTTGTAACTTTTCTTTTGTCTTTACTACTTGTCTAATGAAATTAATAATTTCTCTAGTGAAAGCGAGTTGAACTGTGACCTCTGCTTTACCAGCCCAGGCTGCGTAGAAATACACTGAGTATGTCCCGTTTGCATAATCAATAACACGACCTGCAGTGCTTTTTCCCAGTTTCGTGTTTTGCATGACTGCCATGAAGAAATCACCTCCTCTGTTTCTTCTACGATTGTTTTTGTCTCGAGCTTCAATAACAACATGCACAAACTCTCCTTTCTGGACATTTGTATTATGGAGCATCACCCTATAATAAATTTGAATATATATCTGTATCTGGTTCATGTATGATTCATGTATGATTACATGAACCAGATACGTATATGCCTCATAACTACAACATATTTTGCAAAAGATGGTTGAACAGAACAAATGACTGGCTGAATCTGGTCGGAAAAAAACGAAACAATGAACGACAGATAAACAAATCCTCAAATACCAATAGATATGTAAGACTGAAGTAAATGCCAAATATACTGCAAGTCACAAATAGTGTCAGTTAAGAAACCATACATATTTACACACATTCTGCATAGAAAACTAAAATAATCATTCTTGTTATAGTCAGGTAGAGCGACAAAACGTTATTATCAAAATCAAAATAAAGTCTAGGTATTAAAAATAATGTTGTTTTCACGTCCGTTTAGATATAACATTTAGCTATTCAGCTACATTTAGGACCAATTTCTGTAGATATATTGCTCTAAAACATGACATCTGCCAGTAAGAAAACACATTTTGTCACCACTGGAATACCAATGTTTGTACCATGCAAACTCGCCTAATATGTTCTCAATCAGGACATGTCATCTACAACATGTTATGTACTTAAACAATGGAGATCTATATTTGCTAGATATGAACACGAATTGTGTACGTCAAGGGATTTCGTATACAAAATGTCAAATAGACAACCCGGAAAAACACCATCAAAGTGCACGACCAAAAAAAAGGAAAACGACCGAGATGATATTAGCCAGGATTGGGTGGTGCAAATGGTGTCTTGGATAGTCAGTTTATTTTTGAAATGACCATTTAGAGATACACTTTGCTCTAATTTTACGAATATACCCCGAGATATAAAAGATATATAACAGTTAGAAATGCCATACTAAATATCGCTCTTATGAAATATAGCTTCCCGATACTGAAAAAAGTTAATACTTCAACATTCATAATTGTATAGAAGAATTCGATAAACCAAGTTCTGTAAAGCGCATACACTTCCTGAGTAATGTCTGTTGCGAGGTTATGTTTTCTATGCAAATCGTATTTTTGAATTGAAAAGACGTATGAAAAATTAGGCTTGTAAATTTTTGCAAATGATATATGTGCATACAAATAATGTTACATATGTTCTAGCACTTGTTCTATTTAATACTTATTTTCTTGTCATCTGAGTTATGCTTATTTACTTTGCAATTACTAAACAACCTTGTGATTACACCTTCTACATATTAAAATATTAAGCTTGAAATTTAAGCAACTCAGCTGTGTATTAGATTGTGTACAACATGTGGGACAGAGTCCTAAAATGATGCTACTTGGTGTTTCTTGCCTAGGATGTTATGACGTTGCAAATTCAATGTCACGTTCGTCAAAGGCAGGAACATCGGAGTGTAGATAGTTAGCTCATATAATCACCATGTCTGTTGTGTAAATTTGAATACATTTTTCTCACCTTGTTGTCATGGTTGATGTTAGTCCTAACGAACCATTTCCAATATCAAAAGGTGTTTCAGTATTTTTATTCTCAGCATATCCATGCCTCTGTTGCCAATTCAACTCATCTACTATAGTTATCCACTCCATTCCAAATCGATTATATCTACTGTATGGTAATGGATCGATATCTTTGGAGCTTTCTGACTGTAGATGAGGAGAAGGTGCCTCAATGTCCGGTTTTATCAAAACTGAAGATTGCTGCTTGTCAAAAAATATTAGGTTCAATTAATTTTCGAATTCACGCGTGTCAAATGTGTACTGAGTTTAGTCATTCAGATTCACAGATCAACGTACATTACACTACATACATTTCAAAAGTACAATAATCAAGTATCCCATATATCATGGCAGTTCAGTGTAATAAAGAAGTGTAAAAAATATCTATATTTTCATACTATGTGATAATGATCCGGCATCTGATTGCTCCTTGCAAGCAAATTGAACTTTTGACACCATGATTGAGTATCAGAGACTATGCCAGTATCTTAAATGATAGTAATTTTAAACAATGCTTTTTGAATTATTATTGAGAATAATATTAATTCGTATATTCCTGATAGATTCAGATGTCGACTAAAACGCGCGTGTGATATAAATATTTAAGTTTTGATTTCAACTTCAACACAATTTGAAATAGTCATTGTTTGAATTGACTCAAACATTATTAATTATGTAACTAACACATTCCCGAAACAGTACATTTAACGGTGGCTTTAAAAATAACTACTGACAAATATTTTATTTTTACTATAATTAAGTTTTGCTAAAAAAAATATACTTAAAATATAAATATTGTGGGTGTTTTTAAATAAAAAACAGGTATATTTGCTAGGTTTTAATTTTACTGAATTACAATAACGTATTATACAGTATATTCATTAATCGCAGTAGAATAAATTAGAATATAATTAAATTAACGGCTGTATGAACGTTTTTATATTATGCAAATGATCCCGAGCGCTGTACTATGTTTTACGTACTATAATTCGCTTTAATAAGTGTATCAATTTGTATCTATATCTTTTATAGTACCAGCATTTTGTGTATCATCCCGACATTGCTGCATGGTTTACATCTCACATACACATGTTTATAATACAGTTATTTATCGACGATGACCATGTAGCGATATGCATATTTGTGATTGCCATGTTATCTTCCGCACGTAACTTTTATCTTAATTCAAATAATGCGATACAACACATATGGATTTTACACTGTTAAAAGTATAGAAATGTATCGTAAATAGGCGACAGTTTAATTTGTTTCATGTAATTATTTACGTTTTTGTTGTGGCGGCATTGACAAAACTCTCATTATAGTCTCCCGGTAATTGCAATATCAATAGGCAGATCTGTTAGCAACACAAAACAACGGTTTCTGTATATGTGTCAGTTTTCGATCATCAACACATATAGTATGTAAAACTACTCACCAATTGCATTACGAAGACAACTATTACAGTCACAATTAATAGAAATATTACTTTTCTGAATAAATCCAGTTTCAATCCAGCTCTCTTTACTGTCATTTCCTTTATATCCATGATTGTATGTATGGTGGGTAACCAGGGACAGATATAATGTGAATGCTGTGTTGTATCTTGACTGAATTATGGATTTGTGCGTATTAGCATGAATATTAATGCAAATGTATGTGTCACGTGGATAAGATAAGATTTGATTGTCATAGATAACATTTTACTATACCCTCAAACTATTTGATTTATAGTAACAAAACCACAAACAATATAATTGATATAGAGAACTGGAGTCGTGTATCTGGCGTCCTTTCCTATACTACGAGTATTGACTAGTTGTTTCGTGTGGCAGCTGATGCCGGTAGTCATCCTTGGAATATGCATATCCATATAGTGAAGCCATTATTCTCAAATAGAGTTTAAACTATGAATTACATTTCCACTGACACACAGGCGTGCATGTAACAGGTTGTCACACTCATAATCTGCTACAAAGGGTTCAATTCCTGGTTTCAAGATGCAAACTCAACAATGGATAGCCAACCCATACTTGTCACTAATATTGTTGGTACCCTCCAAATAAACCACAAGTTTTCCGTTTGTGTATATCTTCTCCTAACCAACCCTATAATAACTCAACGAAACATTTTATCAGAGCAATTGGAATGAAAGTTTTAGAATAATTAGCTGGTTATGAGATATTTACGAGGATACCTCAACGTATTCACGAAGACAGTTCAGCTGGAGTATCGACCGACGCGCAGCAGAGGTCGATGTGCGGCGAACTGTCTTCGAGCATATTTTGAGGTATCCTCATAAACAACATATTATTAGACATCTTTCCCTTCCAAGGATCCACCATGGGAATGCCGAAATCAAAAATGGTCAGAACAGAATCAGCGAGTCCGGCCAAACACTGGTGGCAGCCATATTTGTTTTTATTATTACAGGACGCTTATTCGTGTATCAATTCCATATTTAGAATTCGCATTTTCTCATATAGTAGGATGAAAATACCCGTAAAATACGCTGCAACTGTTACTCGCTGATACAGTGACATATGTATAGTAATGTCCGATAAATGACGATCTTGACCTTTGACTATGGCGATTGCGTTGTTGATGCAGTACTGTTCGATAAATGCCTGGGTGGAGTGGTTAAGTAGGTGGTTGAGTCGGCGGTTGCTTACACGTAGTATGAAACAAAGCAGTGAATCAGTAAGGTCAAGCTCCTTTAGTTTATTGTAACGTGTAATATGGGTCGCTACTTCAGCGGTTGTTAACAACTGCCACGGGGACAAGCGCACCCGGACAACTAATGTAAGCAGATGTTTATTAACGTTCTTTTTCTAACGTAACTGGGTTCTGAATAATCTCAGGTTAATTATCATTAAATCGCCATTATGAACATTCTTTATCTAACATAACTGGGTTCTGAATAATCTCAGAATAATTATCATTAAATCAACATTATTAAAGTTTGTTTTCTAACGTAACTGGGTACTGAATAATCTCAGATTAATTAACAGTAAATCGTCGTTATGAACGTTCTTTATCTAACGTAACTGAGTACTGAATAATCTCAGGTTAATTATCATTAAATCGTCGTTATTAATGTTCTTTTTCTCTCATAACTTGGTGCTGAATAATCTCAGATTAATTATCATTAAGTCGTCGATACTAATGTTCTTTTTGTCTCATAACCGAGTACTGAATAATCTCAGATTAATTATCATTAAATCACCATTATTAACGTTCTTTATCTATCGTAACTGGGTAATGAATAATCTCAGATTAATTATCATTAAATCACCATTATTAACGTTCTTTATCTATCGTAACTGCGTACTGAATAATCTCAGATTAATTATCATTAAATCTCCATTATTAACGTTCTTTATCTATCGTAACTGGGTACTGAATAATCTCAGATTAATTATCATTAAATCACCATTATTAACGTTCTTTTTCTAACGTAACTGAGTACTGAATAATCTCAGGTTAATTATTATTAAATCGCCATTATTAACGTTCTTTTTCTAACGTAACTGAGTACTGAATAATCGCAGGTTAACTATCATTAAATCGCCATTATTAACGTTCTTTATCTAACGTAACTGAGTACTGAATAATCTCAGATTAATTATAATTAAATCGTCGTTATTAACGTTCTTAATCTAACGTAACTGGATACTGAATAATCTCAGATTAATTATCATTAAATCGTCGTTATAACGTTCTTTTTCTAACGTAACAGAGTACTGAATAATCGAAGGTTAATTATCATTAAATCGCCATTATTAACGTTCTTTATCTAACGTAACTGGATACTGAATAATCTCAGATTAATTATCATTAAATCGTCATTATTAACGTTCTTTTTCTAACGTAACTGAGTACTGAATAATATCAGATTAATTATCATTAAATCGTCGTTAGAACGTTCTTTTTCTAACGTAACTGAGTACTGAATAATCTCAGATTAAATATCATTAAATCGTCGTTAGAACGTTCTTTTTCTAACGTAACTGAGTACTGAATAATTGCAGGTTAATTATCATTAAATCGTCATTATTAACGTTCTTTATCTAACGTGACGGAGTACTGAATAATCTCAGATTAAATATCATTAAATCGTCGTTAGAACGTTCTTTTTCTAACGTAACTGAGTACTGAATAATCTCAGGTTAATTATCATTAAATCGCCATTATGAACATTCTTTATCTAACGTAACTGGGTTCTGAATAATCTCAGAATAATTATCATTAAATCAACATTATTAAAGTTTGTTTTCTAACGTAACTGGGTACTGAATAATCTCAGATTAATTATCATTAAATCATCATTATTAACGTTCTTTATCTAACGTAACTGGGTTCTGAATAATCTCAGAATATTATCATTAAATCAACATTATTAAAGTTTGTTTTCTAACGTAACTGGGTACTGAATAAACTCAGATTAATTAACAGTAAATCGTCGTTATGAACGTTCTTTATCTAACGTAACTGAGTACTGAGTAATCGCAGGTTAATTATCATTAAATCGTCGTTATAACGTTCTTTTTCTAACGTAACTGAGTACTGAATAATCTCAGATTAATTATCATTAAATCGTCATTATTAACGTTCTTTTTCTAACGTAACTGAGTACTGAATAATCTCAGATTAATTATCATTAAGTCGTCGTTATTAATGTTCTTTTTCTCTCATAACTGGGTACTGAATAATCTCTGGTTAATTATCATTAAATTGCCATTGTTAACGTTCTTTTTCTAACGTAACTGGGTACTAGAAGTAATTAATTCTTTTAAAAGAATCCTCTCCTTAGTAAATAGCGCCCTCACTCAACAATAATTAGAATGAGTGGTTAGTTGGTCGAAAGTTTGATGAGTCAGGTGCACCTATTGGCTAAGTTTGTTGTACATAGATTCAAATGAGTATAGGAACCATTAATGGTGTAGGG